AAAGCACCGACCGTTATCGGCAGGATTTGAACCTGCGCGGGGTAACCCCAATGGATTTCTAGTCCATCGCCTTAACCACTCGGCCACGACAACATATTTTTCAATGTAAAGCTGTAAGAAAACAGTGTGCTTCTGGTCACTACTTGGCCACGACAACACATCTTTGTGTTTTAAAAAAGCTTTGAGAAGACACAGTGTACTTTCAGTTTTTAGATTTAAATTACAATAAAATTTGTATTTGAAACAGAAAACCATTATTGGCAGGATTTGAACATGTGCAGAGAAACCAAAATGGATTTCAAGTCCATAGCCTTAACCACTCGGCCACAACAACTTAATTCCTTTTTTTGTTGAGATATAGGAAAACACAGTGTACTTTCAGTTTTAAATTTAAAATTCTTTAAAAGATTTTTACATAACAGAAACAAAGCACTGACCGTTATCGGCAGGATTTGAACCTGCGCGGGGTAACCCCAATGGATTTCTAGTCCATCGCCTTAACCACTCGGCCACGACAACACATTTTTCAAAGTAAAGCTAAAAGAAAACAGTGTGCTTCTGGTCACCACTTGGCCACGACAACACAACTTTGTGTCTTAGAAAAGCTTTGAGAAAACACAGTGTACTTTCGGATTTTGTTTTAATTTACACTTAAATTTTTATTTGAAACAGAAAACCCTTATCGGCAGGATTTTAACCTGTGTGGGGACATCCCAATGGATCTTGAATACTTCGCCTTAACCACTCTGCCAATTTTAAATTTCTTTAAAAAGATCTTCACCTAACAGACACATATCACCTACCATTATCAGCAGGATTTGAAAAAGTTGTATGAAAACACAGTGTACTTTCAGTTTTTAGATTTAAATTACAATAAAATTTTTATTTCATACAGAAAACCATTATTGGCAGGATTTGAACATGTGCAGAGAAACTGAAATGGATTTCAAGTGTATCGCCTTAACCACTCGGCCACGACAACTCAATTCTTAATGTTGAAATTTAGAAAAACACAGTGTACTTTCAGTTTTAAATTTAAATTTCTGTAAAAGATTTTAACATGACAGGAACAAAGTACCGACCGTTATCGGCAGGATTAGAACCTGCGCGGGGTAACCCCAATGGATTTCTAGTCCATCGCCTTAACCACTCGGCCACGACAACTCAATTCTTAATGTTGAAATTTAAAAAAACACAGTGTACTTTCAGTTTTAAATTTAAATTTCTGTAAAAGATTTTAACATAACAGGAACAAAGCACCGACCGTTATCGGCAGGATTTGAACCTTTTGGCCTTAGAAAAACACAGTGTACTTTCAGTTTCAAATTTAAGTTTCTGTAAAAGATTTTATCAAAACAGGAACAAAGCACTGACCGTTATCGGCAGGATTTGAACCTGCGCGGGGTAACCCCAATGGATTTCTAGTCCATCGCCTTAACCACTCGGCCACGACAACACAACTTTGTGTTTTAAAAAAGCTTTGAGAAGACACAGTGTACTTTCAGTTTTTAGATTTAAATTACAATAAAATTTGTATTTGAAACAGAAAACCATTATTGGCAGGATTTGAACATGTGCAGAGAAACCAAAATGGATTTCTAGTCCATCGCCTTAACCACTCGGCCACGACAACACATTTTTCAATGTAAAGCTGTAAGAAAACAGTGTGCTTCTGGTCACCACTTGGCCACGACAACACAACTTTGTGTTTTAAAAAAGCTTTGAGAAGACACAGTGTACTTTCGGATTTTGTTTTAATTTACACTTAAATTTTTTATTTGAAACAGAAAACCGTTATCGGCAGGATTTTACCTGTGTGGGGACATCCTAATGGATCTTGAATACATCGCCTTAACCACTCTGCCAATTTTAAATTTCTTTAAAAAGATCTTCAACTAACAGACACATATCACCTACTGTTATCAGCAGGATTTGAACCTGCACAGGGAAACACCAATGGATTTCAAGTCCATCGCCTTAACCACTCGGCCATGACAACACATTCTTTTCATATAAAGTTGTATGAAAACACATTGTTCTTTCAGTTTTTAGATTTAATTTACAATAAAATTTTTATTTGAAACAGAAAACTGTTATTGGAAAGATTTCGACATGTGCAGAGAAACCTAAATGGATTTCAAGTCCAATGCCTTAACCACTCGGCCACAACAACTGAATTCTTTTATTGTTGAGATATAGGAAACCACAGTCTACTTTCAGTTTTAAATTTAAAATTCTTTCAAAGATTTTTACATAACAGAAACAAAGCACTGACGGTTATCGGCAGAATTTGAACCTTCGCGGGGAAAGCCCAATGGATTTCACGTCCATCGCCTTAACCACTTGGCCAATACAACTCAATTCTTAATGTTGAAATATAGAAAAACACAGTGTACTTTCAGTTTTAAATTTAAATTTTTGTAAAAGATTTTAACATAACAGGAACAAAGCACCGACGGTTATCGGCAGAATTTGAACCTTCGCGGGGAAAACCCAATGGATTTCAAGTCCATCGCCTTAACCACTCGGCCATGACAAC